ATTTGCCAAGGCAAGTGCCAGGGATGTCTTAGGGCTTGTCTATACTTACGCGCTGGTTCGGCGGCAGGCAATCGAACTTCTGGGTTCGATTTATCGCGTCTTGTCTGGACGCGATAAATCGAACTCAGAAGTGCTCCCCGTCGACTCCGGTAATCCTGCTTGCCGCGAGGAGTACGCGGAGTCGACGGGGGAGCCTGCCTGCCGGGTCTGGCCCGCGATAAGTTCGAACTAAGGTACGTCGACTTCAGCTACGTTATTCACGTAGCTGAAGTTGCGTACCTTAGTTCGATTTGGGGCTTTAGTGTAGACCAAGCCTTAGTCCATCTCCTGTTATATAGGAGGTCAGAGTAAACGATCACAGTGATCAATTCTGGCCTTAGAGTCTATGAATCTTTGCTGGCCAATACTAGAACACTAATAATGGTCATGAAAGAGAGAGAGAGAACCTGATGTGTTGGCAGTAAGCAATTAGCAAAAAGGCAGAGGGGATGAGTCTCTCCATCATTACTGGCCCCTACACAATCCAGCAGACTCCCGCGTTCTGTACAGGTGCTTGTACTGTGCTCATCACCATGTTATCCGAGCACCTTCCAGCAGTGTGATTAACATCTGCCATGTGTTCTCTCATCAGAGACTTTATATTAATAGAAGACCTAATGGGTAACAATGAGAGGAAACCAAATGTAAGAACATTAGATAGAATTGATCTCATCACCAAAACCCCTATCGGTCTTGCTTAGGCAAGAGTTTCAGAGTAGATGCTTAACTCCTAAATCATCTACTCATGATTTCAGCTGCCACCTACTGTGTATAGAATATATGAATAGATTTTAAAGCCTGAAGAGACCATTGTGATAATCTAGTCTGACCTCCACAGAATTTCACATAGTAATTCCCTCCCCTGTGAGAATTACAGGAAGGATGAGACTAGGGGTCTGGGACTCTGAAGACCCAGGTTCAATTCCCAGTTCCACCACAGACTTCTTGTGCCCTTGGGCAAATCACATAGGCCCAGATTTTTAAAGGTATTTAGGTGTTGTGGTGCTGAACATTGCAATGTCTAACTGATTTAGGAGCCTAAATATAATTTACAAAATGGATTTAGGCTCCTTCGTCAGCACCACAACTCCTACATACTTGGGCCTTAGTTGTCTGTAAAATGGTGATGTTACTTCCCTACCTCCCATGGGTACTGTGAGGATAAATACATTAAAAATGCCTTAGATAGATAAGTGACACTGTTGAGACCAGTGTCTTGTGATTGAACTACATCATATCTGTTAGAAAGATATTCAGTCTCTATTTAAGGCCTCCAGATGAAGATTGATTTACCACTTCCCATGCTATTCTGTTCCAGTGATTCATTACATACGCTTTTTAAACATTGCATCATATTTCCAGTTTGAATTTTTCCAAATTCAACTTCCAGCCCTTGGACCTTGTTATGCTGTTTTTATTAAAGGACCCAATTATGTCAGATAACTTCTCTTTGTGTAGGTTCTTAAATCGTGATCAAATTGCTTCTTACCTACTCTGTAATACACTAGTTTTAGTTCTTTAAGCCTTTTATTGTAACGTGGGTTTTCCAGATCTTCAATAATTCTTGCAGCTTTTACTTGAGCCCTCTCTATTCTTTAACATCCTTGTTAAAATGAAGACAGTAGAACTGGTCACAGTTTTCTAGCAGGGGCTTTACCAGTGCTGTATACAGAGGCAGTTTCAACCTCCCTACTACTTCTTGATAGTTCCCTGTTTATAATCCAACCCTTTTTACAACAGCACCACACTGGAGTTTATGTTCAGTTGGTTGTCCACAAAGACCCCTAAGTCCTTTCCAGAATAAATTCCCTCATCCTCCAATTACAGCCTATGTTCTTTGTTCCTTAAGAACATAAGAACGGCCATACTGGGTCAGACAAAGGTCCATCTAGCCCAGTATCCTGTCTTCCGACAGTGGCCAATGCCAGGTGCCCCAGAGGGAAAGAACAGAACTGGTAATCATTGAGTGATCCATTCCCTGTCACCCATTCCCATGTATCACCTTGCATTTGGCTGTATTGAAACACTCTTGGTCATGCTCATGTTACCATAACCCTCTGACCCAGAGGTTGCAGAGGTGCTTGCTGTCACTCACTGAAAGTTCTGGCCTTGGGCTCTTAAAAAAGGTTAGTACTACAGTGGGCCTCGAGCCCACTCAAGTGCTATATTTCATTTTCATAGAGTCAGAGTTTAAGGTGAGAAGGAACCTTAGGTCATCTAGTGTGATGTCCTGTACAGCACAGGCCAATAATTTTCACCCAGATATCCATCTATTAAATCCAGGTACTTTAGATTAAAGCATTTCAGGCCTCAGGAGATTTAACTGTGCCACAGGGAGAGAATGGGAGAAACTAAGGTACCATCAATGCCCAAGACTTCTTCAATGGCAGGGAATTGATTAGGTGAAAGGTGCCCAGATGATCCTAGCAGTGAACCATGTCTCGTGTTGCAGAGGAAGGGGGAAAAAATCCCAAGGTCCCAGCCAGTTTGAGCTGAGGGGAAATTCCTTCCCGAGCCCAGATCTGGTGATCATCGTGACTCTGAGCATGTGAGCAAGAAATATCAGTCAGACATCTAGAAAGAGAATTCCCTACCACCTCAGAGCACTGGTCTAGCTTGTCCAGTGTCTCCTCTCTAGTGATGGCCAATCTGTGATGCTTAAGAGGAAGGCAAAACAAAACAAAAAACCCCAACCCCACCCCCAAAATAAAAACGACACCTCACAACAACAAAACACATCTAGCCAATTGTGCATCAGATCGGTTCCTTCTTGTTTCCCCCAGGTCTTTCTGTGTCCTACCTATCCACAGGCCTTTTTTCCACAGTCCCATTCCTGGGCTGAGTGTTCTGTACCCCAGACCTCCCCCGTAGAGGTCTGCAGGTCTCTACCTCCAGAGCAGATTTTGCTATCTATATATAGTCCCTACTCTAGTCACATTGCTCCTCTGTTACATGATGTGGGACTATACCTCCCATCAATCCCTCTGGGGCCCAAATCTCTCAGAATTCTCTTGTCTTAAAGTGCTGAGCTCCAATAAAAGGCATGCTAGCAGTACCTTCCCTTAAAGGGGGATCACATACTCTTTTATAACCAGGATATCCTTAAAATTACTTTCTTCTGTTTTTGCCCTTCTTTAATACTAATCTGGCACCCAAGTTTCTAAACTGCCTTAGCTTTCCCCTCAGTATTGCCATCCCCACTTTCCTTACCCCTCAACCTCCTCCTGCTTTCAACACTACCACATTTGAGTTCTGGCAGCACTGCATACCTGGTTATAAAGTTACACAGTACTCCATGAATTTGTCATTGATGTCCATCAGTTTGAGGATCGATGTAATGTTAAAAGTGTTACATCTTCCCACCGCACCTGAGTGGCAGCAGCAGCTGCTCAAGCTTCTAGGAGCTTGGTTCCTGCTGGTTGACCCTGTGCTGCGTTTTTCCAGTAGTGCTCAGCAGAGCCAGTCTTCTGGTGCAGCTGCTGGGCAGAAGCTTTATTCTGGACTCCCCTCGCCCTCCATGCTGCAGTTTTAGAGCAAGAGTGAAGGTTCACTAGGTCAGCGCTATAGATCCTAAACTTGAAGCAGTGTGCCAAGCAGACTCCCCACCCATCGCTAGGCCTGTGGGGGGGGCATGAAGATCCCAGTTCAATCCCCAGTCCCAAGGGCATGGGAGCACAGATCCCAGTAGCTATCCTCTGGCTTGATGGGGAAGGGTGGTGCTTGCCCCCACCAGCCTAAGGGCCTTCTAGAGCCCAGGAGACCAGCAGGAGCTGGGCAACAGCGGCAGATGCAGGGGCCCACAAAGAGGTGAAGGTGCAGCAATAATTGATTTTGAATGCAGTGAGCAAGCGGGAGAGTGAATGAGAGGGGAAAAGGTGAGAATCAAGATCAGGGAGAGTGAATGGCAATGGCAGAGAGCGAGAAGAGGAGAGGAGTGAATAGAGAGCGCGTGCAGTTTGTGCGGGGATGAAGGGGCTGCCTTCATCAGCATTAAACTCACATCTAGTCAGAGTGAACATTATTCAAAACAGCAATCAGGATTTGAAAGTGTATAGCACTTTATTCTGGCTGAGGTTCCACTGGTAGCCAATTGGACCATAGACTTGAATAAACAGTGACCTGTTATTTCTCAGTAGCTGTCCAATGATTGAACAGATCCCTGTGTACTAACAAGCTACTGCCTTTGAAATTGTCTATGCACAGACTCACAGCAAATACGCCTCCTTGGACTCTCTCACTCTTATCAGGATGGGGACAGAAATTGAGGCAACTATCTTTGTTGTGGGCATATTGTAGTTCTGAGGGCAATTCCCAAAGAAAGCAGAAAGACTTACAGTAGCCAATCAGTGTGCTGGGAAAGAGGCTAAATAGCATATTGGAATATTCTGTGTTTTTGGCCTTCGAGTTCATTTAGCCCAGGATATGCTTATTACCTGATAATCAGGAAGCAATTATAGTAATTTAGGAACTGCCATACTGGATAAGACCAGTACTACACCTAGTCCGGTATCCTGTCTCTGGCAGCAGCCAGTATTAGAGGCTTTGGAGGAAGGAGCATGGAATCCTGCAATAGTCAGTTATGGAAGAACCTTCCCAAAGGGAAAATAATCTTTCTAACCCTACTAAGTAAATTTTGGATTATGCCCAGAAGCAGGAGGGTTTATCACTTTAGGTAACTGCTCTCTTTCTGTTCAATAACTCATTGCTAGCTGAGTATGTTGACTTTAGGAACTAGTGAGTGAGGTGTCAAGCCCCTATTTTAATTGTTTGCTTTGTGTAAAAGGGACATAAGGGAGCGTCTGACTTAAGTTTTACATCTGGTTATGTGGCTGCTGGATCCTTGTTGTTCTGTACCCATCTGCCCTAGACTTAGAGAAGTTGATCTTTTTCTTTGTTTCTAGTTTCTGGACAGTGAGGAGGAAGTGGATGTTTATATAGACACAGACGAAGAATTCTGCAATGGCCGGGTCACAATCTTCAATGGCTCAGGACCACCCTATTTTCACAGTTATCTCTATATGAAGGGTAAGTGGCTGTAGTCTATACCACGAAAGCTTTGAGAGTATCTTGTTCTCCCAGCCTCTTCTCCTTTCCTTTCTCCACACATTTTTCCTGTTTATTTCTCTACTTACATTTTTTCTGTTTCTTTATTTTATCCAAACCAGCAAAGAAAAAATGGGAAATCTCTGTAGAAGAGAGATTTAGAAGGGATTAGAGTGGATGTCCCTGTTAGTGAAACCCTTTTATACGCACCAGGGTGTCCACTGAGGTGTTTGTAGTTCAGATGAGCAAAACTAAACTACAGCATTGGGGAGATAAGACAGCACAAAGTATTGGGTAGAACATGTAAAGACTGGATAATCTCTGGGATGCTTGTATGACCACAGAGGTAATGCCAGGGAGGAAGGAGGCTTTCAGGTTGCTGGGAGATAGCACCAGGTAGAGACCCTTCGGAAAAGCAAGTTCACACCCATGCTGCTTCCCCCTGCCAGAACATAGGCACTAAATCCCTGTAGTCAGAATTTAAGTGGCCTTAATTTGGTTTAGTTTAATTCACTTCCAAAGTGAATTGAGTGGAACCAAATTAAGGTCACTTTAATTCTGAATGAGTTTGGTCCCACAGGGGTTTAATGCAGTTTAAATAATCCACTTCAAATTCACACTTTCAGTTCATTCAGATTAATTTTCCTGGATGTTGCTGCGTAGATGAGCCCTAAAACAATGGCCAGTACCAGCTGCTTCAGAGGAAGGTGCAAGAAACCCCCAAGTGGATAGTTATGGAATAACATGCCTAGAGGGGAAGTTTTTTTTCTGATCCCCTCAATTAGTGAATGTTTTATACCTTGAAACTGGAGGATTAATGACTCTTCTACATTCGTAGTCCTTTCTATTGTAACTTTGGATGTTGCCATGATCAATAAAAATTCACACTCTTTGAGGCTGGGACTTTCAAGGAAGCCTAAGGGAGATAGGGACATAACTTCCAACTGGAATTGCAAATAACTTCCAGTTGGCATTGGGTGCCTATTTCCCTTAGGCAGCTTTGAGAATTTCTCCCTTATTGAATTCCACCAAGGTGTTGGTCTCAACAGTATCTAGTGGCAGTCAGATGCACAGGTAATCATCCATTGTGTTAAAAGTATTTCCTTTTTTCTGTTTTAAATTTGCTGCCTTTCAGTTTCATTCACTGTCCCCTGGTTCTGATTTACTTCCACTATACTTTTTTATTATAGAGAGAGCTGATAGTGATAGAAATACAATCAAGACCAGTGCAAAGTAGTACGCTTAGGAAGGAAAAATCAGATGAATGAGTACAAAATGGGAAATAACTGGCTAGGCCGCAGTACAGCAGAAAAGGACTGGGAGGTTATAGTGGCTCACAAGTTGAATACAAGTCAACAGTATGAAAAGGGCAAATGTCACTCTGGAATGTATTAGCAGGAGTGGTGTAAGTAAGACAAGGACAGTAATTGTTCCTCTTGGCATTAGTGAGGCCTCAGCTAGAGTACAGTGTTCAGTTTCGGACATCACACTTTAAAGATGTGAACAATTGGAGAGGGAGCAACAAAAATAAGAGGTGTAGAAACGTGACCTATGAGGAAAGGTTAAAAGAATTGGGCATGTTTAATCTAGAGAATGGAACACTGAGGGGGAACATGGTAACAGTCTTCAAATATGTAAAAGATTGTTATAAAGAGGATTAGTTGTTCTGTTTGCCGAGGGTAGGACAAGAAGTAATTGGCTGAGCTTGCAGCAAGGGAGATTTAGTCTGGATATTAGGAAAATCTTTCTACCTGTAAGGATACTTAAGCACTGGAACAGGTTACATAGGGAGGTTGTGGAATCCACATCCTTGGAGGTTTTAAAAAACTGGTTAGACAAACACCTGTCGGGGTGGCCTAGGTATACTTAATCCTGCCTCAGTGTGGGGGCGTGAACTAGATGACCCCTTGAGATCCTTCCATCCCTGCATTTCTATGATTCTATTTTTCCTTATTTGAGTTACCTAACAATTTCCATTATAAAAGATTTTTGTAAACTTTTGTGAGAGGTCTGACACCACCATTGTTTGCATCAGGGCCTTGAAATTTGGCAGAGAAAGCCTCGGGATGAGAGAAGTGCTTTTTCCGTGTCCAGTGAAATTCCGTTCTGGTTTGACCAAGATATAAACGTATTTGAAAACTTCCATTTTTTCATCATGGTTAACAGTGGATGCCCTGGTGTTCTGTACTAGAATTGGTGGTGTTTAATATACACCTCTACCCCGATCTAACGCGGTCCTTGGGAGACAAAAGATCTCACCGCGTTATAGGTGAGACCGTGTTATATCGAACTTGCTTTGGCCCCCTCACCCCATTCCTTGTTCCCTGACTGCCCCCTCCAGAGACCCCTGTCCCTAATCACCACCAGGACCCTACCCCCTACCCAACCCCCCTGCTCCTTGTCCCCTGACTGCTCCAACCCCTATCCACACACCCCGCCCCCTGACAGGCACTAACCGGCAGCGGCAGGAAGCGGAGCAACGCAGCCCCAGCCCGCTCCACTCTGCCACCTCCCAGCCATGGTTAATAGTTAATTGTTAGCCAAAACACATACGTTGAATGTATTAATGGGTATTGTGTGTATTGTCTAAAGATAAAGCAGTATAATATGAAAAAGACATATATACCCTCCTTCTAGGGAGCAAATTCTCGTAGCATGTTCACCTTATACAGGAAGTGTCCTTCTAAGATACGCATTTCAGCTAGTAGTATTTATAGTATGATTTTAGAAGTTACAAAATTCTTTGCACATCACTTAAAGTTTACGTTTAACCCACTTGCTTGTGCCAGTTTTGTCGTTACTTTCCCATAGCCATTTTGAATCCTACATTCCCAGTGTTGGTAATTCGGCACGTTTCCTATTCTCTAATGCCAGAGCTGACTGCAGCTTTGCACAGTGTTGTGGGAAGCCTGACGTGGGTGAATTGTGGGAAGAGCATAATACCGGCAGTTTCTATAACTGCCAAACAGGAAACATGTCAAAGTGCGGATAGGGAGTATTGTCATGGTTAACAACACTGGGAATGTAGTTCTTTGATCTCTTGAATGTTTTTAAGACCAAACTGCGTGTGAAGTCAAAGAATTGGCTGCATCCTTGAGTCAATATAATACTAATCACACGTGTTTGTGGAAAACAGGTATTGTCAAACGAGCCTGATTTCATTCACTGATGAGGTTACAAGTTTGGTTCATAAAGGAACTTTGTAGATGTAATATATCTAGGGCATGTCTACACAGAGACTTAGTGTTTGGCAAATTAATGTAGATTTATACCCTGGCTTGCCACACACTAAGGGTACGTCTACACTGCAGTTAGACACCTGTGGTTGGCCTGTGCCAGCTGACTAGGGCTTGTGGGGTGCAGGCTAAGGGCCTGTTGAATTGCAGTATAGGTGTTCGCACTCGGGCTGCAGCCTGAGCTCTGGGACCCTCCCAACTTGCAGGACCCTAGAGCCCAGGCTCCAGCCCAAACCTGAACATCTACACTGCAGTTAAACAGCACCTTAGCTCAAGCCCCATGAACCAGAGTCAGCTGGCATGGGACAGCTGCAGGTTTTTAATTGCAGTGTAGACGTACTCTAAGTGGCCGTGTGGATCTTGAGACCATGCACTAAAAGTTCCATAGTGCTTTTTGAAACAGGCATATATCAAAACATACCCTGAAACTTACAGGGTTTACATGGTCACTTACTGCATGGCAAGCTGGTGAGGTGTACATTTACACCCGACGTGCTGTGCACTGAGTCTTTGTGTGGACAAGCCCTTAGACTTGGCATTTACTGCTGTGTTACAATCCTTCTGAACTATCGGAGTGGCCCAAAGATGATGTAACTCAGCTTCAGAATGTGGCCCAAAGTCTTTAAATTCAGATTGAATATTTCTTTCTAAAGGACATGCCTGCAGCTCAGTCACAAGGTATTGTGCTCATTGTAGGATATGGCGGCCCGTGTTCTGCAGAATGCCAGACTAAATAATTGTAGTGGTCCCTTCTGGTTTTAAAATCTGCATATATAGCAGCCTCTGTTCTGCAAGAGGCAGTGTAAACAACAGAGCAAGAGCATAGTGTGGTGAACATCCATTTGTTTTGCAAATTTGGGAAAGCAGCGTGTGCGATCTGGAGCAGAAATACGAAGGAGTGAAGGAGGAACCTCTGTTTGTATTGCATGCATGCGGAGGAGTTGTAATTGTTGTTGCTGGTCTTCACTTCACAGGAATTCTTGAATCGGTGATTTTGCTATGTGCTGATGGGAGGAACCTCAGAAGGTGCCAAGGTTTGGATTACATAAAGTCCTGCTTCTCTGCAGATTATTCAGCCATCTTTAAAATGAAAATTTTGTGAAGTCTGTTCTTTTTCTCTAGCTTTTCAGTGTTTCCTGGTTTCAGGTGGGCCACAAAAACTTCAGGATGCACATTTGTAACAGCATCTTGGTGCTTCAGACAAACAGTGAACCAAAAAATGAAAAGCAAGTGAGAATTTCCACAAATTCTACAAGAAAACAAAAGCAGAGTGCACTTTTCACTTCTCAGAAACTGTTCATGTTTGGTTGAATGTCTGATTCTGTTCTTTCTTTGGCCAAACTCTAATCCCAGCCTTATTTCTATTCCAGTCCTCAATTCCTGCTGTGTGTGGCCAGGCACGCATCTGAAATGGTGCCCAGATGTCTAATTGAGACACAAGGGTTAGACTAGGGAGATGCGTGATGCTGCAGAGTTGATAATGTCTTGCGCTCTCTCCCCTGCAGGGGGTCTGATGAACCCATGGAGACGGCGATGGTGTGTTCTGAAGAATGAGGCCTTCATGTGGTTCCGAACTAAGCAAGAGGCCCTGAAGTCAGGCTGGCTCTATAAAAAAGGAGGCGGCTTGTCAACTCTGTCTCGCCGTAACTGGAAGCGCCGCTGGTTTGTTCTTCGAGAATCTAAGTTGATGTACTTTGAGAATGACAGTGAGGAAAAACTGAAGGGGACAATAGACATCAGAAGGGCAAAGTGAGTGAGAAGAACAAACCCAGTAAAACTCCAACATTCTCTGTCCATATCACTAGTGATAAAGGCTGCTGCACTAGCCTAGAAATATTGTATAGGGTTAGAGGAATCTGAGGGTAGAGAAGGAAAATCCTGTTGGATCATCCAGTCGATCTCTGGGGGAGCAGGATTGCTCCCTATTGGACATTTTCTAGTTCCTTGTCCAGTGTAGGGAGCAGCTGCAGACCCCAGCTGA